GATGAACACAGCAGGCCAAGCAGCATCAGAGGAGCAGGAAGGCTGACGTTTCGGGCCTAGACCCTTCTTCAGAAAATTTTCTGCTCCTATGATGCTGCCTGGCCTGCTGTCTTCATCCAGCTCTACACCTTGTTATCTCAGATACTCCAGCATCTGCAGTTCCTTGTAGACCAATTGGTTTGACATCTGTTATGTGGCTCCTAACAATCTGGTTAGAATCTGTTAAGAGGTTATAGCTGTGCACTTTGTTAAATTCAAGGTATTAGGGAAGAGTCAGCATGGTTTTGTCAACAGGAAATCATATTTGACCAATTTATTAAAGTTCTTTAAAAAGTTGTGCCTTACCCTGTGGGTAAAGGGGAGCCCTCAGGCCTCTGACAGCTGAATTTCCATAAAACATTCGGTACACTGCCACATCAAACGTTATTGCAGAATGTAAAAGCCCATAAAGCCCATGGTGCCTGGGCTTATATATATTAGCACAGGTAGAATTAGAATTAGATTTTATAGTCACGTACTCAAGTACAGGGATACAGGAGTTCAGTGAAAAGTGTAGTGAATGGGAAGGCGATGGCCGAGTGGTATTATTGGGATGGCACAATGGCTCAGTGGTTAGCACTGCTGCCCCAGAGTGCCAGGGACCCAGGTTCGATTCCACCCTAGGGTGACTGTCTGTGTGGGTTTCCTGCGGATGCTCCGGTTTCCTACCACAGTCCAAAGATGTGCAGGTTGGGTGGATTGGCCATGCTAAATTGCTCGTAGTGTTATTGATGTGTAGATTAGGTGGGTTACAAAGGGACAGGTCTGGGTGGGATGCTGCGAGGTGTGGACTTGTTGGGCTGAAAGGCCTGTTTCCACACTGTGGGGATTCTATGACTATGACTTCTATACAGTGTCATGATGTGTGGCACCGTCTTAAGTACAAAATCAAAAAATAAATGAATTAAAAGGTCAACCAGAAGGTCGGCTGGCTGACGGAAAGTAGAGAATATGCATTAATGGTTCTTTGTATTACAGGATGGGATACGTGGAGCCCTGCAGAGATCTGTGCTGGAATCCCAACATGTTACAATTTACGTCAATTTATGTCTTTGTGTATTGTGACTTTGGATCTGCCTCTTTTGATAGGTATTTGAGGCCATATTATTCAATATTTTTAAGGCAGAGATGGTTAGCATCTTGAAAGACACAGGAGTCAAAGGTTATCAGGGCTAGATGGGATGTGGAATTCAAAACACAAGCAGTCATTCATGATCCTCTTGAATGGAAGAGCAGGCTCAAGTAGTGGAATGGTCTACCTATTGCCTTTATTGGTTAATGCATTGAGTAAAGGAGTTGGGAGGTCATGTTCCAGCTGTACAGGACATTGGTTAGGCGACTATTGGAATACTGCAAGCAATTCTGGTCTCCCTGCTATGAGAAGGATGTAGTGAAATTTGAAAGGGTTCAGAAGAGATTGACAAGGATATTGCCAGGGTTGAAGGAGAGGCTAAATAGACTGAGCTATTTTCCCTGGAGCATCAGAGGCTGAGATTATAGAGGTTTATAAAATCATGAGGGGCATGGATAAGGTAAATAGACAAGGTCTTTTTGCAGGGTGGGGGAGTGCAAAACTAGAGGGCATGGGTTTAAGGTGAGGGGGGAAAGATTTAAAATGGATCTAAGGGGCAACATTTTCACGCAGAGGGTGGCGTGTGTCTGGAATGAGCTGCCAGAGGAAGTGATGGTGGCTGGTACAATTACAACAATTAAAAGGCATCTGGATGGGTATATGATTAGGAAGGATTTAGAGGGATGTGGGTCAAATGCTAGCAAATAGGACTAGATTTATTTAGGATATCTGGTCAGTTTCTGTGCTGTACATCTCTATGACTGCTCCTATTTTGTATGTTTAGGCATATTTGTTTTCTCCGTGGCAATGACTATCAATCAGAGTTCATCTAATGTGTATAAATTGTTGTTCCCTTTGAAATTTGATAATACAGTGATTGTGTCCTTATGGGTCCAAGCCAAAACTCTTCAAGAGCATGTCTCTTTTCATCAATACTCAAGTTCTGTATGACAGAGTGACATTTTTGCCCATAAATACCTCATTCTCTAATACTATCCAATATTCACATTTAATGCACCTTATTCCTTTCTGCTGGGTCTTTCTACAGGTCTTCCCAGGCCTTTGATTGCAGTCATATGCTTACTCAGTAATGATTTGTTTGGGTCACTGTTCAAGAATTATTTTCTGACCATTTTTTAAAATCATAAAACTGACCAGAATCCCTCCACCTCTATTATTACAATCTAACATCCGAAAAGTGTCTCTGTCCATTAGAGAGATGCAGTTGGTTATGTATACTTTGAGGGTAACCAGTCCATAAGGGTGGGGAAAGGAGTGGAGGCAGGGCCTCCCATGAAGCAGCACAGCTGGTATAGGGATTGAATCCACAATGTTACACTTATTTTAGATCACATTCAAGTCACCTATCCAACTAATTTGACTGATACCCCTCCAAAAATGATACTTATTTTTATTACACCTTTCATTACAACATATACACAATAGCACCAAGTTCTACCTCACCGGTCCCTCTGTGACTTCCCATTCTCATCCCGCGTAGGGGACTTCTACTGTCTTCCAAAATATACACAAAGCAACACACATGGATGTCCCATTGTATCAGGCTGTGTAAGAACCTCTCTCGCTATGTCGAGGGCATCTTGAAACCCATTGTACAGGGAACTCCCAGCTCCTGTCATGACATTACAGATTCTTACAGAAACTCAGCACCCACAGGCCAGTCGAACCAGGGACATTCCTCATCACATTGGATGTTTTGGCACTCTACATCAGCTTCCCCCACAATGACAGCATCGCCGCAAAAGCCTTAGTACTCAATACCACCAATTGCCAATTTCCCGATGCCATCCTACAACTCATCTGCTTCGTCCTCGACCACAACATCTTGAGCTTCAACAACCAGTTCTTCATTCAGACACACGGAACAGCCACAGGGATCAAATTTGTCCTCAATATGCCAACATTTTCATGCACAGGTTCGAACAAGATTCTTTGCTGCACAGAACCTCTGACCAATGCTATACACCTGATACATTGACAACATTTTCTTCCTTTGGACTCATGGCGAGGAATCAGTGAAATAACTACATAGTGATATCAACAAGTTTCATCGCACCATCAGACTTACCATTGACTACTGTTTAGAATCAGCCTCATTCTTGGACACACACACACATCTCCATCAGGGATGGTCACCTCAGTACATCACTGTACCGCAAGCCCACAGATAACCTCATGATGCTGCACTTCTCTAGCTTCCACCGTAAACATATTAAAACAGCCATCCCCTATAGGCAAGCTCTACACATACACAGGATGAAACAGACACCTGAAGGTGTTGAAGGACGCCGTCATAGGAACAGGATGCGATGCTCAACTCATCGATCGTCAGTTTCGAAGTGCCACAGTGAAAAACCGTAATGACTTCCTCAGAGGACAAACACGGGATATGTGCGATACAGTACGGAACTTCATCGTACAGTACGTCCCCGGAGCAGAGAAACTACACTATGCTCTTCACAGCCTTCAACACGTTAACAATGACCATGAGCACCTCGCCAAGATCTTCCCCACGCCTCCACTTCTTGCCTTCAAGCAACCACCAAACCTTAAACAGACTACTGTTCCCAGCAAACTATCCAGCCTTCAGAAAAGCATCAGCCACAACACCACACAACCCTGCCATGGCAACCTCTGCAAGACATGTCAAGATCATCGAAATGGTTACCACCATCATGTGTGGGAACACCACCCACCACGTACACAGCAGATACTCATGTGACTCGGCCAACGTTGTCTATCTCATTACACTGCAGGCAAGGATGCTCTGAGGCATGGTGTATTGGAGAAACCATGCAGACGCTACGACAGCGGATGAATGGATACCATGCAATAATCACCAGACAGGAATGTTCCCTCCCAGTTGGGAGCACTTCAGCGGTCAAGGGCATTCAGCCTCCGATCTTCAGGTAAACGACCTTCAAAGTAGACTTCGAGATACACAACAACGCAGAGTCGCCGAGCAGAGGCTGATAGCCAAGTTCTGTACCCATGAGGACGGTCTCAATCGTGATCTTGAGTTCATGTCTCACTACAGGTGACCGCACCACATTTAACACTCACACTCGCACACACACACATGCACACTCACACACACACACACACACGCATGCACACATACAAACACACACTCTCTCTCATACACACATACACACACACACACATATGTGAATCTATGGAGTGAATTTGCATTTGCAGTTACATTTTATTTTGTTCAAAAAGCACACAACTTATAGACAGTCAGACAATAGGCATTTTATAAATTCCCACTTTAGAAATAAAAGCAGTCTGACTCGAAACTAAAACACAAACAGATTCTAAAAAAAGCCCTCATGCCTGACATGCATTGCCTGACCTAAAATGTCACCTCTTCTTTACATTGATAAAGCCTCTAGTTCTCTCAGGGCAGTGACTTGAAAGAAATTCAGGGATTTACATATACATATTAATCAATTAAAACCTTCTAATTTATTAAAGATTTAACAGCATCTTAGGTTTGTTTAGTACATCCTCATCAGTGGTGTGACCCTTTGATCTTTTACTAATAAATTCTGTGTCTGATACTACCTCTCTCACTACCACCTGAAGAAGGAGTGAGGCTCCAAAAGCTTGTGATTTCAAATAAACTGTTGGATTATAACCTGGTGTCGTGTGATTTCTGACCTTGTCCACCCCAGTTCAACACCGGCACCTCCACATCATATTTCCCACTTTGTCTGAAGTATCCAACTGCTTAGAGACATAAAAAAAACCCTGCAGATGCTGGAATCCAAGGTAGACAAACAGGAGGCTGGAAGAACACAGCAGGCCAGGCAGCATCTGGAAGAAAGGAGCAGTCAACATTTCGGGTATTACCCTTCTTCAGGACTGCTTGTTTGACAACCAATATTGAAAGAGCCGAAACTTTATTTAACTGTGCAACTATTGGACAGCTCAAAGCTGTTGTTTCCAATGGCAGGCTGCTTTCCGTTCCCTCGCTACCTACTCCAGCCCTCTTCCCAGCAACTCTGTAAGGCTCAACCACAGACTGTTCATGACCTCAGTGTCACATTTAACCTGGAGTTGAGCTTCCAGCCACTAGATCACTAAGATTGTTTCCACAGCCCAACTTCAAAGCAGCACACCCCCTCCCCCTACCTCCACGCATTGGCTCATCCCCCACTGAAGTGCTCATCCCTCCCTTTTTGTTTTCATCGGAAGGTTTCATTTATACTTCTGGGATGGTATTTGAACACAAAAAGTATCCTGATTCAGGAAGGAAAGGCTGCCTTTGGCAGTGTGAGTGTTTGGTTTCTTCAAGAGCACCACCCACTGTTCTGTTCACAAAATAAACAAAACTGCTGTAGTCATGCCTTTGATGTCAAGCATTTCACACCGTTTTAAGCATTTTAATCAGTAATATTCAGCATTTTAATCAATGTCTTTTCTTGAAGTGTGTCCTGTTTAACTTCTTAACATTACAGTTGTGTATTATTTTTAAGTCACATTGCTAATCTTCAAACTAATTTAGATTATTTGAACATTTATTCCTCATTTAGCCCTGCTGATATCTTTCTAAAAATGTTGCACTGGATGCACTTTACTTTTCCATGAAGAATCAGAACTAAAGGTATGTTTCTGACCTGTAACTTTTGCATTTAAAAATCTATTAGCTGGCTGAATCTAACCGGCTCAGAAATTCTGTCACAAACTTGCTAACTGTGCCTAGGTCTTGTTCACCACTTCCTGTGTTGATGCTCTCCACTTCTGGCCCTCCTGCTCGCCTCAATGCCCCGTCATGCAGTTTCAGCAGCTTGTAGGTAACCTGGGATGGTTATTTGGTCTCCCTTTGAATCTGGGTTGGAGATGGATGAGACTTGATATCAGCCCCTCTTACTGAATATTAACCAATTTTTTTTATTCACCCATGGGATATGGGTATCACTGTCTGGGCCAGCATTTATTGTCTGTCCCTAGTTGTCCTTGAGAAGGTGGTGATGAGCTGCCTTCTTGAACCGCTGCAGTCCCTGTACTGTAGTTGACCCACAATGCTACTTGGGAGCAAATTCCAGGATTTTCACCCAGTGACACTGAAGGTACGGCGATATATTTCCAAGTTGGGATAGTGCGTGGTTTGGAGGGGAACTTGCAGGTGGTGGTGTTCCCATGTATCTGCTGCCCTTGTCCTTCCAGATGGAAGTGGTCATGGGTTTGGAAGGTGCTGTCTGAGGATCTTTGGTGAATCTCTGCAGTGCATCTTGCTGCTACTAAGCGTCGGTGGTAGATGGAGTGGATGCTTATGGATGTGGTATCAATCAAACGGGCTGCTTTACAAATGGTGTCAAGCATTTAGAGTGTTGCTGGAGCTGCGCATGACTCTGCCTCCCTACCTACTTAAAAGAGGGACAATGTTTGCTACTTTCCAGTCTGTTGGAATCTTTCCTGAATCAAGGAAATTTGGAAAATTAATCTCAGTGCAACTACTGCCTCAGTAGCCACCTCTTTTCAGACCCTAGGATGAGTCAATCTGAATCTGTCAACTAACAGTTCGTTCAGTTTGCTCAGTACCTCTTCCCTAGTGATTGTAATTTCACCAAGTTCCTCTCTCCTTTCCTTCTCCTGATTTACAGCTATTATTGGATTTTGTTGGTATCTTCTATTGTGAAGATAGATGCAATATATTTTTTCTCTGCATCTGCCATTTCCTTGTAGTTCTCCTTTATGTCTTCAGCACTCCTTTGCATTTGTCCACGCGGTATCCATATCTCAATTTGTTTCCTGTTGGTGCTGCTTCCAGACCAGGATTACAAGGTCATATGGACCAGTGTTTCCTACTATCTGAGAAACTTGCAATCAATTCCTTTACTGATCCAAACTCTTAAAAGGCCCTTTCAAACATTCTTAAAAGCAGTTTCAGATTCATAAACATTCACATCAAGGCACACTTCTGTGTGGCACTTTTCATAACCTCATGATCCCCAATGCATTTTGCAGCCAGTGATGTCTTTTTCCTGTTTATTCATTAACGGGATGAGGACATCACTGGCTAGGCAACATTTATTGTCCATCCTTAATTGCCCAGGAGGAAGTTCAGAGTCACATGTAGGCCAGACCAGGTAAGGATGGCATTTTCCTTCCCTGAAGGACATTAGTGAACCAGATGGGTTTTTCCTGACAATCGACAATGGATTCATAGTCATCATTAGATTCTTAATTCCAGATATTTTACTGAATTCAAATTCCACTATCTGCTGTCGCGAGATTCAAACTAGACCATTGCCTTCCCTTTGCAAAATATGGTCATTGCAAACATAGCAGCAAATCTTAGATAGCAAGATACCGCAAACAGTAGAGTAATGATGGACAGATTGCATGTGTCACAGCCACTTTGTCAATCAAGGTGCCTGAATTGGAGGTCTCAGCATCTCACCAAAGTGAATATTTCGCTCAGGCAAAATAAAAAGCTGCAGTCCCTCTGTTCATCAGCAGAGGCCAGCATTGATCTATCTTAACCTCTCCAAAACCCTCCTTATAGAAGTGGATAGAACTATACTGATCGCAGGTGATCAGTGGAACTCCTGAGAGACAGTGGATCAATCAGACCTTGCCCGTAGCAGAGAGATGTCTCGAGAAACAGAATTCAAGAAACTTTAAAGGAAATAAGCAGTCAACCACGAAGGAAGAATTGATCTCTAAATATCCTGAACAGAATCCTAGTATTGTTATGGTAAATTCACCATTCTAGTGGCCGTACCTTTAGCTGCCAAGGTCCTAAGCTCTGCAATTTCCTCCCTTAGCTTCTGTCCCTACCTCTCTTATTGAATCATTTACACTAATAGCTGCTGCTTTGGCCCAGGGTTAGAACTTCAATTAGTAACACACTTGTTAGGTGTCTTGTGATGCTTAAGTTGGCTGTGTAAGTGCAGGTTGTTGTTTATGTTCATTCGAATAAGAATTTTAACCATTGAGATATTGCCAAATCTGGGGTCGATGTTGGTTAGCAAGCTTAGCATGAGCTGTACTGAAAACAAAAAGTGCTGGAGATCACCGGGTCAGGCAGCATCTGTGGAAAGAGAGCAAGCTAACGTTTTGAGTCTAGATGACTCTAGCACAAACTGTTACTGTTTTAGTAGTTCAGGAAGAGAGCAGGAATTTTGAATGAACTCCGGTTTATATAATTTGGAAGACAGGAGGTCAGCTAGGAGCATGTTAATGTGGGTAGATCTGGTGGTAACAAAGCTGTGAATGAGGGTTTGAATTAGGTTTCGCATTGGGAAAAGTTCAGTGCCGCGCAATCTGACCAAATAGCACAGAGATTAGAAGTAGACCAGACCCAGGATAGATTCTTGGGAATGTCAAAGGTAACAATGTGGGAGCAGAAAAAGTCACCCAATTCTCTGGTTGTGTTAGGTAGATAGTAATGGTACCAGCTCAAGAGGCATTGGAGGTGCATGTTGTGGTTAACACAGTGGCACAGTAGCTCACAGTGCCAGGGACTCAGATTCGATTCCACTTTCGGGCGACTGTGTGGAGTTTGCACATTCTCCCCGTGTCTGCTTGGGTTTCCTCCCAGAGTCCAAAGATGTACAGGTTAGGAGGGTTGGCATGCTAAATTGTTCCGTAGTGTCCAGGGATGTTCAGGCTAGGTGGGTTAGCCATGGGAAATATGGGGTTAACAATTACCTGTGTTCCTGCCAGTACCCTCCCTAAGACCCTGAAGCATGGAAATGTACAAACAAAGTACAAACAGAAATTGAGATCTGCTATTAGGTCAGTAGCTAGGGGTGTTTTTAATTTATTCACTGGATGTGGGCATTGGTTGCTGATCCTTATTTGTCCACAAGGGAGTGATGGTGAGCTGCCTTCTTGAACTGCTGCAGTCCACGTCCTTTGACTGAAGGGATTCACACATGGAGCTAGGAGAATGATGGGTACCACTGGATTAGGCAATGAAAATATGTTTAAGGACGTTGGAAACAAAAATAATATATTGATGTGAGACACCTGAAGTGTAAGTAACTGCAATGTTTTTATTTCACTGTAGATATTTCGAACTAACTGAATACTTGGTATCATAATGACTTAAATTTCAAGTTGACAGCGGTCTTAACTTTCACTCAGAATGTTATAAGTTTGAGTCCCACGCCAGACCTTGAGCACTTAATGCAATGACGCGGCAGTGTCTGACATGCTGTTTGTCAGGTGAAAAATCATTGTATTGAGTTTGCTGAATGTCTATGGCTTTCGCTAGAGACAGGACGATATCCCATGATTGCTCTCCCTTCCGAAACCATTGACTTTAACTGGCCATTCGCTCCCTGTGGGATCTTGCTGTGCCACTAAATGAGACTCTGTCGCCTCATTTGCACCTGCTGAGAAGGAGGGGGTGGTTGAAGAAGAACATGTCCAGGATATGGGGGTCACTGGTGCAGCATTAGTTACAGAGAGGACTGTTTCAGAAGGAGATGTGTGTGTGAGACTGAGAAATAATCTGTCAGAATTAGAAATTACAGCCAAGCAAGTAGAAAAAGGATACCCTTAAATGGATTAACACAGAGCTTTGCTTAGCAAATTCCCACCATCATGAGAGGATTGAGTAAAGACTGGCATTGCTATAGCACCTTTCAGAACCAGCATGAAGTACTTCCTGAAGTGCAGTCCTGTTGTAGTGCAGGGCTGAGCGCAGTACAATCCCACAAACAGCAATGGGATGATGACCAGGTCACCTGTATCAGTGATGTCATTCGGACCCTTTTATTTTTGTGAATGAAGGGATTACAATGTTGCATTTGGCATCATTTAGGTGGTCACTTTGTCCAAGAGTGGCAGTATCTTTACTTGCCCACAGGGGGCCAGCATTGAGCTTGCTCCAATTTTCCAAAGGGAAGTGGCTATAAATTCGGATGATATAACAACACCAACCACACTGTCTTTCAGACAGCAATTGATGATTCTGAGGGAGTGTGGTCTTAAGATCAAGATCCTGACCATGACCAGCTATGTCCTCATTTTGCTATAGGTCAGAAACATGACATATTAAGTATGTTGGGGAACATTTTAAAATCATTGTTCTTGGGACGTGGTTGTTACTCAGTGGGCCAGCATTTATTGCCTCTCCCTAGTTGACTTTGAGAAGGTGGTGGTGAGCTGCCTTCTTAACCGCTGCAGCCCATGTGTTGTGGGTTGGCCCACAATGCCCTTAGGGAGGGAATTCCAGGATTTTGACCCAGTGACAGTGAAGGAACAGCAATATATTTCCAAGTCAGAGTGGTGAGTGGCTTGCAGGGGAACCTAGAGGTGGCGGTATTGTCATGTACCCGCTGCCCTTCTCTTCGAGGTGGAAGTGGTTATGGGTTTGGAAGGTGCTATCTGAGGATCTTTTGAATTTTTGCAGTGCATCTTGATAACGATACACATTGCTGTTACTAAGTGTTAGTAGTGGTGGGAGTGGATACTTGTAGTGTCGATCAAGCGATCTGCTTGTCAAGCTTCTTGAGTGTTGTTAGAGCTGCACCCATCCAGGCAAGTGGGGAGTATTCCTTCACACTCCTGGTGTGTACTGTGTCGATGGTGGACCGGCTTTGAGGAGTCAGGAGATAAGTTGCTCAGCAGAGAATTCACAGCCACTACTGTCTTCTCACAGAATCGCAGAATTGTTACAACACACAAGGGGGTTATTTGGCTGACTGCAGCAGCTGTTCAAATCAGCATCATGAGTGCAAATCTCCTGCCCTTTCCCCACATGCCAGCACACTACTTCAATTCAAATAGCCATCCAGTACCCTTATAGCCACATGTTGAAAGAATTATTTTTAATAGAATCCTTGCAGTGTGGAAGCAGGCCATTCAGCCCATTGAGTCTACACTGACCCTCTGAAGAGCATCCCACCCAGACCCATCCCATCCCTGTAACTCTGCATTTTCCATGGCTAATCCATTCAGACTGCACATCCCTGGATGATATGGCCAATTTCCCATGGCTAATCCAGCTAACATGCACATCTTTGGACTGTGGGAAGAAACCGGAGCACTCAGAGGAAACCCACACAGACACGGGGAGAACATGCAAACTCCACACAGACAGTCACCCGAGGGTGGAATCGAACCTGGGTCCCTGGTGCTGTGAGGCAGCAGTGTTAACCACTGAGCAACGCCCTCATAATGATACATTATGAATAATTTCTGGTAATATTAAGTGATAATTTGAAGCCACAATAAGCTTGGTAGCAGCCTTGCCTCTGGCTGAGTAATTTGTAGACAATGAACGCGTAATCCAGGTTTGAAACTCCAACACTGCATTGAGATGGCGCTGCACTGCCAGGGTGCAGTCTATCAAGCAACACATTAAACTGTCTGCTGAATGTTAAAGTGCGCCTGGCTTTCCCTGGAGAGCAGCAGGGCAGTCTCAGGCACCATTCCAATGTAATTCTCCCCCAGACCAGAACCCAAGGCACTCACACACCAACAGTCCAAAAGTTTTGAGCTAATCTCAGAAGCTGGTGGGTTGAAGCCAGCTTCCAGATGCAGTTACATTTGAAAAACCAAAAGAACTGCAGATGCTGAAAATCAGAAACAAAAACAAAAGTTGCTGGAAAAGCTCAGCAGGTCTGGCAGCATCTGTGAAGTGAAATCAGACTTAATATTTTGAGTCCAGTGATCCTTCCTCAGAACAGTTCTGTTTTAAAACTCTGCAGATGAAATGTCTTCCTCCACTTGAAACCGTGGTTTTTCTGCAGAGAATCATGGCGATTCTTTGCAGATCTTACTTGCACATGTACTCACTGAGGTGTTCGACAAGGTTCCCCATGGTAGACTGTTTAGCAGGCTTAGATCACATGGAATATAGGGAGAACTAACCATTTGGATACAGAACTGGCTCGAAGGTGGAAGACAGAGGGCAGTGGTAGAGGGTTGCTTTTCAGACTGGAGGCCTGTGACCAGTGGTGTGCCACAAGGATCGGTGCTGGGTCCACTGCTTTTTGTCATTTATATAAATGATTTGGAAGTGAACATAGGAGGAGTGGACAGTAAGTTTGCATATAACACCAAAATTGGAGGTGTAGTGGACAACAAAGAATGTTACCTCATTTTTCTGAAGAAGGGTCCCGACCCGAGACGTCAGCTTTCCTGCTCCTCTGATGCTGCCTGGCCTGCAGCTCCACACTGTATTATCTCTACTTCAGTATACAATGAGACCCTGATCAGATGGGCCAATGGGCTGAGGAGTGGCAGGTGGAGTTTAGACAAATGTGTGGTGCTGCATTTGGGAAAAGCAAATCAGGGCATGACTTATACACTTAATGGTAAAGCCCTGGGGAGTGTTGCTGAAGAAAGAGACCTTGGAGTGCAAATTCATAATTCCTTAAAAGTAGAGTCCCAGGTAGACAGGATAGTGAAGAAGGCATTTGGTATGCTTGCCTTTATTGGTCAGTGCATTGAGTCATATTGTGGCTGTACAGAACATTGGTTAGGCCGCTTTTGGAATACTGCGTGCAATTCTGGTCTCCCTGCTATAGGAAAGATGTTGTGAAACTTAAGAGGGTTCAGAAAAGATTTACAAGGATGTTGCCAGGGTTGGAGGGTTTGAGTTACAGGGAGACTCTGAATAGGCTGGGGCTATTTTCCCTGGAGTTTCAGAGGCTGAGGAGTAATGTTATAGAGGTTTACGAAATCATGAGGGGCATGGATAGGGTGAATAGCCAACACCTTTCCCCTGGGGTGGGAGAGTCCAAAACTAGAGTCCATAGGTTTAAAGTGAGCGGGGAAAGATTTAAAACAGACCTAAGGGGCAACTTTTTCACAGAGAGGGTGTTGAGTTTATGGAATGAACCTCAAGAGGAAGTGGTGGAGGCTGGTACAATTACAATATTTAAAAGGCATCTGGATGTGTATATGAGCAGGATTGGTTTAGAGGGAAAAGGGCCAAATGCTGGCAAATGGGACTAGATTAACTTAGGATGTCTGGTCAGCATGGACGAGTTGGACTAAAGGGTTTGTTTCCACCCTCTACAGCTGTATGACTATATCTTACAATTGCTCACTTTGTATGGTATGATCTGCCTGTACTGCATGCAAAACAAAACTTTTCATTGTACCTTAGGTACATGTGACATTTATAAATAAAATATATTAATATAAATCAACCAGCACAGCAGTTTGGAACAAAAGAAAAGAACCCAAGGATGGTAGCTAAAGCAGTTTATCTTCAACAGGCTGAGGCCAATCCAAGAATAGACAACATACAGATATCTTACAAAGTTGTGAGGCAGTTATCTGTTAATGACAACGAGAGCTATTTCAAGACTGAAAGCTCATTGAAGCTAGATAGGCTGAGAGAGTTTGTTTGCAGAGTTCAATGAGAAAAATTTTCACTTGGCCTTGATTGCTCTGCTGTTTTTTCCTGATATTTATTTCAACCAAATGTGGCAAAGGTTCAGAGAAACAAAAAGTCACAGTCAACAAAAAAGAAAAGAATGTTGTAAAAGAGGGTGTAGTTGAAGAATTCATTAAGTTGTATCCTGTTTTCCTTGTGCGTGAAACCACATGGTTTGGTCAAAAGGCATGATGAGGTAGATTTACCGCTCAGTGACTTCATATGCCATGAGTGACCAACGCTTTCTGGGAAAATGAAGTAACAAGAACAAGTGGCAATTTTTAACAATTAACTTCTCTAAAAATATCAGACGTGTACATCTCTATTGTTGCCCGTTCCTGAAGTTTCCCTTGAAAAGAGAGTGGTGAGCTGCCTTTTTGAACCACTGCAGACTGCACTCTAAATTGATGACTTCATTTCAAACCCTATTGCCCGTGTTTCTATAAGGGTTTCAGTTGTGGTATATCTTTTCTTCACTTTACCATGTTAAAGAAGCTGTCTCATGTTCTGACACCCCCTAACCTACTAGTTGCCAGAGAGATATAGATTCTTTCTGTTCTGCTCTGTATAAAGCACAGGTGATTGATAAATTACAAATGGAAACATTCGAAGGCAGACTTTGACTGTGTAACTGAGAT